CCCCTCCTCGCCGTGGTTTTTGTGCTCCCCAGCTAGAAACTGACCTAAAATCATTAGTCTGTATGGTTTTAGAAAACATTTCACATGTTTTTAAGAAAAGGTATTGGTAATTGGTATCAGCAACTACCTGAGGGAAAGTAATTGTTCTTGTATTTGGTCTTAAAAAAATGGTATTGGTGCATCCCTATAAAAAAATTGGTTTGGTTTAGTTGTGGGACAAAAAATGTTCCCCATCTTAATAAAGATGTTTCTGGATAGGAGAGTTGGTATTTGATACATTTAAATTACAATGTATGTCCGGTTTAGCATTCTGCTTTTTTTCCTCATTTACCACAGAATTTCCTCTGTTTTGCCCTACCTACATTCACTGCATGATTGTTCGTATAAGGGCTTGTTCACACCAAATGCAGACCAGATCTGCATGAGTTTCTGCACACGCAGTGCAGTGGGTGGTGCCATGTTTTTGGCGCGTTTTTAATGTGTTCCGGGCCGTTTTTGGTTAAAAAAAATATATATAGATTTTTTTTTAGTTTAAAATGAGCTTTCAGTGTGTTCCAGGGCATTTGCATGCGTTTTTGGTGTGGTTGCATGCGTTCCAGAGCAGGTAAAGTAGGGCTTCTCTGGAACTGAACGCTGCGGTGTGAACTGGAGCCCAAAATACCATTGGAATACATTGGACGCAGTTTTGATCCGGTCTGTAACTGCTCTGCTCCTGGAACGTGCATGGTGTGAACAAGGCCTAAATGATTTTGTAGTGCTATTATACTCAGTTACAATGACAAAATATCCAACATTCACAAAGTATTCAGACTTTTGTAGATTATGAGCAGAACAAACAAAAACACCATGGGGATTTTTGTCCTCATAAAAGGCAACAGTGAAAAATCAGAACCCTCATGCCACTTACGTAGCTTTGCCTTCTCGCAGCAAAGTGCAGGTAATACTGACAGTAAGAGCCGCTGACACAACCTTGACAGAACGTGGAGTGAGCGTCAGCTTCAGTTCCCGAGGAGCAGGTGAGATGGCAGCATACTTTCGAAGGTCAATAGGAGCCGCAGCCAGAATCTTTTTGTGACCTCGAGATTCCTGAATTGACATAAAATACACAAAGAGAAAAACCATCAAAAAGCAGCTCTGACAATATAGAAAAGTGACCACAAGTGCTAGAGAGAAAATAACATTTGTTGCAGCTAAATGCTTTATCATGTAGAAATGTGAGCCCTGTTTACAACAGCACAGTGGTGTAGCACTTCTGCCTTGTAGCACTGGGGGTTCCCTGGTTCGAATCCAGGCCACTATCTACAAGGAGTATGCATGTTCTCCCTGTACCTGCGTGGATTTCCTTTGGGTACTCAGGTTTCTTCCCACACTCCAAAAACATGCTGGTAGGTTAATTGGTTCCTGGACTAAATTGGCCCTCATATGTATACAGGTGGGATAGGGACCTTAGATTGTAAGCTCCTTGAGGGCAGGGACTGAATAAGTGCTGTGTAAATTGTCGGTGCTATATATACCAATACTAAATAAATATATACTACCGGTAATATGGAAGACAGTCAATAAAAAACAAATACAAGTTAACTGAAAATTACTAGATTATAATATAGCTCTGTGGACACAAAAACTCTTTTTTTAGTAGAGTGAGGGAAAGATAGCACCTTCATCAGCTTTGATTCTACTAGATATTTATTTTCACTTCCTCAACCGGTTGACAAAGTTGTTAGACAGGATGCAAAGGGATATATACTATATTGCCAAAAGTATTTGGACGCCTGCCTTTACACACACATGAACTTTAATGGCATCCGTGTCTTAGTCCGTAGGGTTCAATAATAACCTCTTGCCGTCCGCCCGTAGTAAAAAAACGGACGGACGGCACTGCAGCATCTGCGGGTTGCCGTCTCCAGACGGCAATTTTTTTCTGCTCGCGCGCGCCCCCTAGCGGGCACGCACGGGCAGAAAAGACCCG